CATGGACTTCAGTTATTTTCCAGTAAGAAACCACCTTATAGGAGTTACATATGCTTCCAATTTTTAAGATATTTAATAATGTTTTCACCTCTAATTAGGAGAAATATCTGGTTTTGGCTCTTTCACTCTCCTGGGAACTAACAGTTTGGTTTTGCCAGTTGCTGGGTCATTACAAAATTCCATTCCTCATGTTAAATTTTGCTTTTCAAGTTCTGAATGAACTTGGAATTTGGATACATGTTTAAGCAGCAACTTATTTCCTGGAAAATACTAAACTGAGTTAAACTATAACTGTCATAAAAAGAACATTCAAGTTTAGAGAACAATAGCAGGGAAATCTTACGTAAAGGCTGCTATATTCAGCCCTCTCTTTTCTGTTCCAGTCAATATTACTTACACACAGGTGGTTATTTGTAAAAGTTATATTTACCCATGTTTATAGCCAGAAGTGGTGAAATGCGGATTATCCCTAGGTTGCTGTGGTTCAGACTATATTTCCTTTATTTATTTGCTTCTCAACAACTACAGTGCCAATTTATTTTGTAACTTAAGCAAACAAACTACATTTGATGCACTTTGAATCAGCTGAGATATTAAACCACAAAAGCTGGGGTTTACAATGGAAAATCGATTCTTTCTTAATGACAGCAGCCCCATTGCCACCCATAGAAAGTACTCCAAAAGAAACAGAAAGAGACTAGGAGTCTGGATTTAGTACACTGTAAGCTGGTTTCAGAGAGTCCTGTCATGGACTTGCATTGTCTAAATTGGCTTTACAACAGTAACCTCAACAGTGCATTCTTTCCACCAGCTATTATATGTTCTCGGCAGCTTATACTGTGAAGTCGTGGAGCACATCCTCAGCTAATGCAAATCAGTGTTGTTACGATTACTTTAGAGGAGCTATACTTTTTATACTTGATATCTGGATCTGTAGATATAATATTTTTCTTACTAATTCACAAAAAACAAATGTGGAAATCTCTTTTAAAAGAGAAAATGTTTATATAAACATCTCGCACATCCACGCACTAAAGGAGATTCACGTTTCACTATGCCAATTTATACCTACTGAAATGTGGTTTACAATATATAGACATACAAACTAGTGTTGGTGACAGACTGGGCATAAACTGCCGCAGAGTCTGAAGGCTTGCTCTAGCCACATGCTTACATGGTTTGCCTGTGCCAGAGTGTGATTAGTCAGTTTTCCTGATTATTTATGAAAAGCAATGTGCCATAAAGATGTCATTTTCTTTGCCCAGATCAAAAGATTTCCACAGAAGTCCACTGCTGTGAGGTCTTGGTGGGTCCTAGAGAATATTCAGCCCCAGGCTCTGACAGCTAGATTGAAGTTGTATTAATTTCCACCATTAGGGTAGTTTCAAAAGTTTAGTCACCTGGCTTGGCAATATTAGATGATGTTTTGTCAATTGGGATATGTTAGAATACATGTACTGAGTACCTGTTTTAAATAATGTTTGTAGTTGCTTTCAGTGCAAATGGGAGTGACCTCTGAAGATACAGTTATAAAGCAGAACTGGAAGCCAAGAGGTCCATTCTGGCCCTAATCTTCACTAAACTTTCACCACACATCCTTTATGTCATGTTCTGCAACAATGGTTTTGGGGTACCATCTCGGGTAATAATCACAGCTTGAATTTCCAGAGTTTACTGTTTCCTACTGGATAAGTGCTTTCAAAGCAATCTATGAAAAGCATCAGTGTGCTGAAGTTTAGGTTCTCTGAAGAACTGACCCCATGGACCTGCTTTTGAAAGGTGCTGAGCATCTACAGTTCTGTTTTAATTTGGGTACTGCAAGTTTTTAGCACTTGTTAAAATCAAGTTATGCATGTCTTTTGTTGAGCACCTGAACCTAGACACTGAATATGAGAAGTTACTTTTGAAGACTGTAGCCTTTGTGTTGTTTCTCTTCTTTCATTGTTTTGTGGAAATGTGCATTGTCAGAGATAACATTTTATTAATGTTTGCAAAGTGCTTTGGGCTCTTTGGATGCAAGTCAGTTACTAAAGTGCTGTTATCACTTGCAGTATAGTGGGAGGGACAGGAGAGGACACATTGGCAGCTAGCATCTTGGGATGACTCTTGCCATAGTGTATACGTTGTACAGGCGTATACCCTCATTGACCAGTGAAGTTTGGAGATATATTTGAGGCAGAGATATCAATTTCTAGGATAAATTTCTTTGTACATAGCGACTGAAAAGCCAGAGCATGGTTTCTCCTGCACCAAGCGCTCACACATAGTTGGAGTTGTGAGTATTTTCATGCTAAAACTTCAAACTCTGAAACTTGCTCAGCTTGTGGTTATACAAAATTACTCAACCCAGGCTGATGGGGGAATCTTCTTGATGTCCCTGGTGTTTGTGGCTTCCTATCAAAGCTAAAGAGCTTCACCATTTCACGGTTTCCATATGATACTGAAGAAGCCTGTCAGGATCAGCTAAGCTTCTGTTTCAGTCAGGAATCTCAAAAATGAGTTAGGATCAAAAAAATCCCATGGAAACTTGAGGGGTCAAATTAATCTGTGAAGTAATTTAACAAGATTTAGTGGATTTATAACATAAATTATTTTGATGGAAGGGATCTGAACCCACATGAATTTAAATCAAATTCTTAGAAACCCACGCTATTGTGTGTCACCTAATTCTGTTCATTGGCCCCACGTGTGTGGCCGGCACGGCCGATTTCTGAGCCATCTCTGGACTGAACAGCTCTGGGGCAAGTCCCAGCAGTAGGTACTCCAGCCCGGAAACTCAACCAAAGGTCCTGCCTTCCAATCCTGGCCTTTGAAGCAAAAATTAATGATAGGGAAAACATTAGAGATGTGATTGTAGACCATCAGATTTAAAACTACTGTATTTTCTTCCTGCACACATCTTGCCACAAGTTGGCACAATACAACCTTAGCTTGTGAAAACTTGCCACAATTCTAAACTACTGGACTGTGAAGCCTGTCTTGTGATTTCTTCCAGGATGACCCATTGTTATTGAACCTGAACAGATGGGAGCATTCATTTCCTAAGCACTTTGTGCTCCGTTCTCCTACTTTGGGGTTTCAACATCCGATTTGTGATGCAGAAGATCGACACACAGTTTCAAGGTTTGTTTTCTTGGCTGAATTCCAAGGACGCTGCTGGGAACTTGTATGGGAGGATGTGCTTGTGAAGTCTCATCACTGGCAAAGCTGCCAAGATCCTTGGCCTCATGAGAGGACTCTTTCTATGCCAGAATTTCAACGCTGGGACTATTTGCCTCTGTCTATTTGGAATATAGACATATCTTTCTCTATGCCTCCTTTCTCCAACTTCCAACTTTACTTCTTCATTCAGGCTTCAGCTATGTTTAAAATATTTTTTCTTTCTCCTTCAGATTCCTCTTTAAAGACATCTTGGTTTGTGAACACTTAGGAGTTTACTTGTTTTAGCATGTTTTGTCGGGGGCTTTGGTTTTGTACCATTTTCCTCTTGTGAAACTTTGGATAATGCTTGTAACTTTTGTGTTTCCCAGTCTTCTTGCCCTTAAAATACAGGCACAAATATACATTGTCAGTGGTGCTGTGGAGATTTTTCAACCAGGTTTATGAACCTCACTGAAAAATAATACTGGAAAGATAAACCCAATGCTGTTAGTCACTGTACAATAGCAAAGTGAAGTTTGATCTCAGTAGAAGAGAGATGCAAGGTAGTGTGCGTGTAGTCAGTTTTTTTCTACTTCTACCACATGTAATGAGGTAAACATTTCTTCTGGGATGAAAGTGCTCTTATCAGTAAAATGTATATTTTCTTGCAGTAAAATGTATATTTTCTTGTAGCGTTCTTGGAGATTTACAACCTCCTTCACTCTCCTCTCAATTCTTCTCATTAATGAGAACTAATGAAGACATTCCTAATGTAATCTGCTATTTTCTTTTTCTCTGCTTCTACTAATCAGTCTGACTCAAATATACTGAGTTTACTGATAATCCTATAGGTTTCTATAGCAAATCGTACAAGTGAACTGAGTTATCCATAGAACATCCATATTTTGCTGTCAGATTTCTTGCCAAAAGATGTTGAATCTTAACTTATTTTTCCATGTTACATCCAGAGCTGTGGAAGAGTGTTTTGGCAGGCTTCCCAATGGGTATGGCTCACATTCCCAGAGTTCTCTCTAAAGCCATAAGAATGGAAATGAACAGCTAAGGATTTTTCAGTTTGGATCAGGCTCTGTGTATGTTAGGAGAAACAGCAGCATAAGCACGAGTACCAGCATAACCTGCAACAGAAAGCAGAGCTTAATGTGGCAAACTGTCATAAACTGGTCCCTGTCAGCTTCACGTGTCTGTACCCAGTGTTTGTCTTGATACAGAGACTTAGTCACTGAGACAGGTACACCACCAAGCAGAACTGCTTATAGGAAATTATGAAGGCCACCATGACGAAGAGAAACACTTTAGTTTTCTCTAGCCGCTTCTCTTTAAGGTAATTCCTTGACTTGTATTGTGGAAAGTGCTTTAGTGAGTGCTGAATTAAGATAAATGGTATATAGTGTCTATTTTAGGGGTCTTTTTTTTTTTTCTGACAAACCTGAAGAAATGCTCCAGAACATCTATTCTCTGCAGAAGAAAAAAAAAAAAAAAGTCCTAGGAAGCTGAGGATGATATTATCTTATAGAGAATATGATCTCGAAAAATCTTGAGGCAGGGTGAGGATAAAGGGAAAAAATTGATTACTGATGTCTCTTTGAGGGTACAAGCCAACTCTCATGGAAGCTAGCGGGAAACTTCCCATCTTCTGTAATATTAGTTGGGTTGGGTCATCAGAATATCACTATAACAAAGCAGAGCTAAAATGGGTAGTAAGCACAGGCAGATATAACAAAAACATTTAAAAAGATTATATTGTAGACAGGAGATTGAACTGTGGCAAAGCTGACAAGTGTGTTGAGGATAATGGTAAATCAAATTTCAGTCCTTCATGTTTTTATTTGAAAATATTGAACATGAATTGATGAAATCTCACAACAGCTCTGCTGTAGCTCCTATTTTGTGGGTAAGTTAAATCAGAAAAGAAGCAATAGACTAGAAGTTAAAGAATAACTTAGTATTGGAGTTGTGAATCAAGCGGGAATCTTGACTTGGAGCACTCTGCTCCAATTCCTAGAAGTACTGCATCTTATGAAGACTGGATTTTCTTTTATTAACAAGTTTTCCTTCCTGCATTTTACCAGTGTTTCAGGGTTTTTTAGAACACATGCACATTTCAAGATGCTTTATACTACCTGAAAATTTTCTTTTCGTAGGATGAGACATCCTTATCTCACTTTTTTTTTCTCTGTCTCTGAAATGACATTCTCAGCCTTGAAAATACTGTTTGCACTTTGACTAAAATTTTTAAAACACTTAACATCTGAGCTTAAATTTCATTTTTAAAGGTACTAATGAAAGAATGTTTCATTAAAAACATGTTTCATTAAAACCTATGTTTCATTAAAAATCTTAAGCCCCTTTTTTAAAAAGATAACACTTAAATTAAAAAATATTCCCTCATAATATTTTTTTTTCTTGGATGTAAAAGTGATCATTCACCTTAAATAGTAACACAGTGCCCTGCAAAGCTAGCATTGGTGGAATGGCTCTACAATACAGTCAAGCTTCAAATTTTAATCTCTCTCTGAGCCACATCCTGTTTTCGGTTAACTGATCTCATATGGGGGAAATTTACCAGAGGAAATATCTCAAGTTTGGAAAGTACCAAAAACTTATCTTTAGTTTCTTTGTGTAATTCAGCACCTTTTAAGATAGAGGTGTAATATTTTCGAGAACTCTCAAGGCAGAAGAAAAGGAATGAACTAACAACACAGAAAGGGGACATACAGATTAATAGGATACCGTGTCCCTTCATTCAGAAGCTGACCCATCGAGGTAACATTGATCTTTCCAGTAGAATTAACTTTTACCTCTTTATATTCCAGTAGCTTAAATATGCCAATTCCAGACATATTTTTAACACTTCTTCAAAAATTGTCACATCCTGGCAGAAACTTTCTGTGCCAGATTTTAACTTGCCATGACTTTTAACAACCCTAATCCTAAAACTATGAAAGCAGACCTTTCTAGCCATTAGAACTATTAAGACTGTATCACAGTTTCCATGCAGACTTTTAACTTTGGTTAATATGTGACCCTGATGACACTGAACTCAGAGAACAGAGCATCTAGAAATAAGTTTACAGCACGGAAAAGCAGGGAGGAGGAAGTGGAAATGAAGAGAAATTAGATGCGATTGTGCAAGTATTAGTAGTGTAAGTCTTCCCACTCACTTAGGTGGACCTTGATATTTAAAATGGAAGCCTTAAAAATAACTTTACTAAAACTGACATCACATTCCTCTTTCACAATTTTATCATCAAGTATCTTATTAACATCCTGGCTTTTAAAAGGGTTACTCATACAAGTACCATGGCTGTATACACAAAACAGATAATTGCATACCCACATTGCTAAATTAGCAATTTTCTTATGCTGTGACAGTATTACTAAACTGCACGTGGTGCTTTTAATCTGGAGATATCCAAGGGTTTTACAAAGGACAGCAAATGTTATTCCCTCTTTACAGAGAGGAAGGTGGAAACATTTACTAGGCTAGTGGTTTATCCAACAACACTCCAGTGACAATGGCAGTAAGCCAGATAGGTACCCTAAAACTAACTCTTAGCAATAAGCTCCATTATGCTTATGATGTTTACTTCCTTCTATAATGACAATTTCCTTTTCATCATCATTTTTAAACTGCTAAAGCATTCACAAAAAAAGTCTTGCCACTTGTCTAAAGCTAGTCTAATTCAATGGGAAGTAAATAAAGGATTTTCTGACAAAGTGAAGGATCAAATTCTTTTCTTGGAAACAGTCTTGCATCCTGATTCCTGTGGGACTGTGAGATGGAACTGGAAGTAGTATTTGGCCCACAGATGGAATTTTTAATAAAAAGAGTTAAAGAAACTGGGAACGTTAATATAGAAAACTCTTTGGATCAACTGCTTGAAAGAATATGACTCTTATTATTAAAAGTACTAGCTAGCAGAAGACGGTCATTATCTGTCTCCAGGTTTCATGACTGAATTAGCTGACAGCTCTGAAAAGACATTGTCTGCGCAGCAAAGTAAGCTGAAATATATTGTGTTAGACAGTAGAGCTTGAAACGGTAAAGAAAACTGAGCACCTGTTTGCCTTCCATAAGGAGACCATATACATTTTTACTATGTTCTGAGTATATTTTTAATACTTCCTGTTACTTTCAGTTAACTACTACAAAGACTTAAAATAAAATTTGTGATCTCAGTCATTTTGTACAAACATTTTTCATTCTCTTTTTCTTGTAATATTGTGGGTTTACTTAGTCCCTCTTCTGCAAACAGTGCCAGGCTTGATGCTTATATTATCCTCACAATAATGTATACTTACAAGATTAATTTCTCCTATGTGCTTGTACACCTCCCGTGTATCAGCTCTTAAAAGGATAAATGTATATCCTACCCATCAATCTGGCTATCTTTTTGAGAATTTTTTTCCTAAGAGTATTTAATTTTTAAACTAAACTGCCTTTCTGAAATCTAGAAAATGTTTTGTTTATTCTTGCATTGTTTGACATTGTCCTTTTAAGACAAGAAAGTAGAATTTTAATGGAAAAAATAATTGGGGAAATTTTCATCAAATATATACTATGGTGTAACACAGGAACACATGAAATAATGTTGCTGTATCAAGCAGGCAAATATAAGAGCCAAGTCACACAAACAGCCATGTGAGCAGATTTGATGAATATTCTTTCATTCTTCATGAAAGTGCATGAACATAGCTTTTTATAACATAACATGAGGAGAAGAAAAATCAATTCCAGTATTTCTTTTAGCAGTTCAACACAGCACTACAGAATATACTTCACTTGCTTGAGTAAGGGCCACGTCTTCTTCCCAGAAGCCTCCCTCTTTCCAATTTGTTATTAAATATAATTCTAATCTGCTTGGTATTCCTTCTGGTAATCTGTAACCCTGTCATGGGTGCCGTCACCCATGCCCCTGTTCCACATGTAGTATGACCGTCTGAGCAAACACAATATATGAAGGTATCAGACTTCAGGCAGACACTTTTTGATGAATAACCTCCTTGTAGTCTTTCATGCAGACAGTAAGTACCTGGAAGTGAAGCCTCTTGTAAATGTAGCAGAGTGACAAACAAATGAAGCACCTAGGGCACCACCTCCTCTTTTTATTTTTAATTTTCCACTAGGAGTCACCCCAGAGGCATTCCCCAAATTTCTTTCACGAGGATGAATTATTAGATTTTTAGCTGAAACTTCCTCCCTTCTGGCCTAATCCTAGTAGGTACAGCTGGAGCATGGTATTCCTTATTGAACTTGCTGTCTAGGGTAAAAAAAAAAATCTTTTTCTGGTAGAGAAACTGTCCTTTGTAGAAATCTCTTTCTTACTGTACTGTGAGCATCTTAAAAGGATTTGCATGCATTAGTTTACTTCTCTCATGTTAGCTTGTTGTTGTAAATATTATCTGCATTTGATAATAATTGTGGGCATAGAGAGAATTGCTCAAGATATCCTAGTAAGGTTGGGAAGAAAATTCAAGTATCCTGATTCCTTACTGTAAGCACTGGATTTTCCCCAAGCGTCAGAAGTGTACGGGGCATTTTTCACTATGATCACGCTCTGGGAGCAGAGGAGTTTCTGTCTGAGTTACAGGGCTAGGTCACAGTGTCATATAGCCAGGTCACATATTGAATCATACTTTAACCAGTTTCAGGAACTAACCATGAAAGCAGATTCCCTGTTTCAGCTGTCTTGAAGAGAGTTTGTTCCCTTGGCTCTTTCCTTAGTAAATTTTAATTTCCAGTCCCCACAGGAATACTTCTGTTAGCCTGTTGTAGCATCCCAGAGAAGAGCGGATCCCAGCTCCCGGCTGGACGTCCCTGTTGGCTCCAACCCTTCTCAGGACGTGGCTGGAGAAAGGTGTCATGCGCTCTTGTTCTCGAGACCCTTGCACAGCCTGGCCTGAGGGCCGGCTGATCTGAAGACACGGTCTAGTCCTGCCTTGAGCCCAGAGCTACACAGCATTGTCTCTGGCGAGCTCTCTGCGACGGGAAGGCCTAGTTCTCCTTGAGGCACGGAGGTGCTTTTAAAATCCCCGCTCCTACCCGCCGAAATAAGACATTAAACTGAAATTCAGAAAAGCTGCTCTGCCGCAGTTCCGCCGCCCCGAGCGCCCAGGTGAGCACCCGGCCGCTTTCTGCCCCCCGCCCCGGCGCTGCTGTCCCTGCTGCTCCGCGGGCTCCCG